GGAGATGAGGCAGGTGTGAGTATGAGTGAGCAGGAAAGGACGGGAGAAGAAGAAGATGTGCGTGCGAGTGTACGTGAAGTGGACGAGGCAAGAAGCGCCCGGAAGCCCACTGCGACACAGGGAGAGCCGACAGAAGCAATTGGATCCTTTCGGGCTCTTGAGGGTGAGAAGCCGGAAGGAGCTTCAGGGAACACGGATGCCCGCAGAACAGGTAAGGGACCCAGCGCATGACCAGGAGGATGAGCGTCAAAAACCGTTCAGACCCCGCTGTTGGAGGAGCAGCTCTCCTGAGCTGTATTTCTCGACACTGGTGGGTTGGTGTCAAGAGGATAAGGGGACTCTTGAGGAGCTCCTTGGCTGGCTGGCCAGAGCTCGGTGGGATGCTTGATGGACAGGACAAGCAGGCTGTGGATCTGCAGGGCTGGGGAAGACCATCAGGGCTGAGCCCCACTGTCATCTTCCCTTCTCCACAGCAAGCCCACAGTTGGCCTCCACTGCCTCTACATCTCTTCAGGCCAAGCGACATCACCAGTTTCTGGAGCCAACCTCACCACCCCATGCCGCACAGTAAGATCCCTATTGAGAAGAGGGCAGACACTGACATTCGCGTTGGGAGTCACATGCACCAGGGGTTCATTTCCTTTCCCATGGGTATACAGCTGATTATGTAGCCTAAACTGGACAGGAAGGGGCTCGTCCAGAGGTCAGCTGTCATCCTGATGCCATGATGCCTATCTCCAGGGGCTTAGAGAAACTAAGGAAGTCAGGGGAAGCCTTACTGGAATGATTAGCAGAATTGTGATGGGCAGTAATGGGAAAGCAGTGTTGAGGCCTGAAGGCCCAAGCAAGCAGTGGTTTAAGTGATGAAGCTAGACTGGGGCTAGGTCCCGGCTTTGGAGGCATAGGGCCCAAGGTTCGAGGGCAGGACCAGGCCTTTAAGCTCCCATTTTCACCACCTGTTTCTCCAGTCAGCTGCTGGTGTAGACAAGCCCAGGAGCACTGGGGATCCATATCACCAGCAGCCTGCAGAACTTGTCCTCAAACAGAGGTCTCTTTAGTTAGCTGTTGTTGTTGTTATGTGCCGTCGAGTCGCTTGCGACTCATAGCAACTCTATGTACAACAGCCCTAAACTCTGCATTGTCCTGTGCCAATCACACTGTCTCTGACATTCCCATCCCGATTATCCCAGTTACCGAATCAATCCACCTCATAGAGGGCCTTCCCCTCCTGCGCTGTCCCTCCACCCTCCCAAGCATGTTGTCCCTCTCCAAGGACCAGTCTGTCCTCACAACATGTCCAAAGTATGTTAGATGGAGCCTCAGAATCCTTCCCTCCAAGGAGCCGCCCGGTTTAACCCTTTCCAGGATAAATCTGTTTGTTTTCCTAGCAGTGCATGCTACCCTCAATACTCTTCTCCAGCATCACAACTCAAAGGCATCAATTCTTCTATCCTCCTTAATCATTGTCCAACTCTCTGATGCATAACAAGTGATAGCAAAGACCATGACCTGTATCAGACACACCTTGGTCTCCAGAGAGACACCATTGCTCTTCAGTACTTTAGTCAGCAGTTGAGCTAATTTGAACATTCCTGTCCCTAGCTTACATACAGAGCCTCTGCCAGCCAAGCTTCCCTCCAGGCCCCGAACTGCTGGCCCCAGGCCCCGTCAAGATCCCTACAAGGCTGGAGTGAGCCACTATGCTAAACTCTTTACCTTCTATGCTAAAATGCCCATGGAGAAGAGGGCCCTTGAGATGGTGGAAAAGTGGTAAGTCCTTTTAGGGTTGGGAACAAATATTCAGATCCCCAATAGCCCATTCACTCCATCCACCCCAACCTCCTTGGCAGCCTAGACAGGTATTTCCAGCATCTTTGCAGTGACTTGGAGGTGTATGCTGCTCATGCGGGCCGGAAGACTGTGAAGCCAGAAGACCTGGAGCTGCTAATGCGGAGGTGAGTGGGTGGGAGGTGCTAGCTTGGCGGGGCCAGCCCATCTGCACAGGGGACTGATTCTGCTTGTCCCTGCCTCACTTTGCCACAGGCAGGGCCTGATCACTGATCAAGTCTCGCTGCACGTGCTGGTGGAGCGGTACCTGCCCCTGGAGTACAGGCAGCTGCTCATCCCGTGTGCGTTCAGTGGCAACTCGGTGTTCCCCACTCAGTAGTGGTCAAGCCTCCACTTGCCCTGTTGCCACCTGGGCTCTCTTGACCTCCTCCAGGTCTCCTCCTCACCCTTACTCCCCACACCTTCAATAAAGTGTCACAAACCAATCGCACAATGCTTCCGTCTCTTCCTGATCCACACCTCCCCCGCCAGTACAGTGAGGAGAATGGCACAGATCCACACAAACATTTTATACTAGAAGTCAAGTTAGCAGCACTGGAACACTGAGCTATGGAGAGAGCCTCTAGCTTGTAGGCTCTGGCTCTCTTCGAGGCCCCATGCGCCTGATGTCAGCCATCTGAAGCTGTTTTATCACACTCTGAATGTGCTGCTTAATGCCCTCGTCCATCTGCTCATTGCCCTCCTCTGGCAGCTCTGTCTCAGTGACCTGGAAGGCCTGGCTGATGTAGGCGTTCAAGGTCTGCGTGTCCAGACTGGGGTCGATGGTGATCAGCGCTTCCCGCAGCTTGCTTGGGGTTATCTCATTAAAGCTAACCCACAAGGAAAGAGAAAGAGATGAAGCTTGACTCCTCTATACCTCTGGGCCCAGCATGTCTGTTCTATTGGGCTTGAGTGGTTTGTCATACCCAGGAGTGTGGACAGGGAAACCAGGGGCTGAAGGCACCCTGAGAGTTGGCCTGACTGGCTGAGGTGGGTCTGAGAACCCCAGGGTTACTCACAATTTGCTGGCCAGCTCTTGCTTTAGTTCCAGCAAATACTCCTCCTTTTCCTCCATGTATTGTTCCCACAGCTTCTGAACAAAGAGCGTACTCTGGCCCTCATTATTCTAGGAGAGTCCCCAAGGCAGTGAGAACACGCCGGTAAGGATCCAGCCAAGGCTACGGGTGGGGGCCGAGCAAATTCCCAGACCTACCTCCAGAAATAGTGAGCGATACTCTAACAGGTCTTCACCGCTGCTGTCAGGATTCCAGCCCCCTGCCTCCATCAATGCCTGAATCTGCTCTTCTTTCTTGAGGGGGAAGGTACTTCTGAGGATGGTGCTGTGAGACACATGGGGACCAACAGAGGCCTGGATGAGGCACGCCCACCCTCCTCCTTCCATCCTTCACTGCCAGCCCCGTCAGTGCTGAGGCTGTGGCCCCTCGTGCCAGGCTCCTTCTCACCCTGAACACCCAGAAATCTGGGCAGAGGTGCTGTTCGCTAAGAGTTTACAGTGGTCTTGCCTCACCTGAAATTTTCCATGGACAGATATCCCTCATTCTGACTGTCAACATCTGTCATCTCCTTCAGCAGCTGTGATATGTTTTCATTCTGATTGATATACACACTCTCCTTCATCTATAGGAAGAGAAAACATCTCTTGGTGAATGGGCATGGGATGGGCATGCTTCCTGGAGGGGTGAGTGCAGAGCTGGCCTATGCTGGGAGCAGAGGTCCCTCTCTGAGAGGAGCAGGTCGGGGCCAGGCCCAAGCTCACCTTCCCCATCAAGACTGCATAAAAGTGGCTCATGATATTGTTGGACTGGAAGAGCTTGATGTTTTCAAAAATGGTGTAGGCCCAGGCTATGGCATTCTTCGGCCCAAAGTGACGCTCCAGGAAATGGAAAAAGAAATCAGAGAACTTCTGTTTCTGTGCAGTGAGGGAACACTGGTCAGTTTAGCCGGTCCCAAGTTTGGCCCTCCTCTCTGCTTCCCGGCACCCCTAGGGAAGCCCCTGGAAGACTCTGGAGGCCAGGAGGCTTGTTGAGAGCTGACCTGTTCCTCAGCAAGCCGTTCCTGCCAGGCATCCTTGAGGATCTCCACCACCTCTTTCTTTGTTGGCTTCTTGTTCTCCACGTTGCCCTCAAACTGAAGAAAAGAGGGGACGGCTTCCCCAAGGCCCTAAAAGGGTGAGTCCGACTTGTCTGACGGCCCATCTCTGGTTCCAGCCTCCAAGCAATCAGGACACCACATGTCCCCTCAGAACCCCAGGCCTCAGCAGCAACACCAAGCTGACCTCAAGCCTTCCTCATCCAGAGAATGCCCTACCAGCCCAGGAAAGAAGTCTTTCTCCCGGAGCAGCCCCTCGCCAATCTCCTCCAGAAGCACGTCCACCAGCTGGTCACTGTTCTTGCCCTCAGCCAGCACCTGCCAGCGCACTGGACCCCCAGCCACCACATCTGCAGGTGGGGAGAGGAGGCTGGAGTCCAGGAGAGGCAGTGGAGCAGCCCCGGAGGCCCCACTGGCCGTGGTTACCTTGGCACTTGGTCCAGTCGGGCCGCGGGGTGGAGGTGCGCTGGATCTCCTGCAGCTCAGCGGAGAACTGGTCCCGCTCCTTCAGCGTGCTCACGTGCAGCTGCAGCAGCATCTCGTGCTCCTTGCGGACCTCATCGTAGTCTGCTCGCAGGCTCTCCAGCTGTGATAGTGACTGGTCCTCCTGCGTGCCCACCGGGCCTGCCCTCCCCTGCCTGGTCCTCCTGCCCACCTTCCCACACCTGCTCCTGCAGATCCTTGTTGATTTTCTCCTGCATCTCAAAGTCCCTCCTGGGCACCACATCCCCAAAGTTGGCCTTCATGGTGGTGAGCTCCATCTGCGTGCGTGTCAGGTCTTGTCGGGCCATCTTCAGAGCCAGCGTTAACTTCACCACGTCCTCCCCCGAGACCCCTGTCAAGGAGCAGCCACCAGCTCGTGTCACTCTGGCTTTGGAGCCTGTGGCCTAGGTCTGTTGCTCTTCCTGCCAGGGGTCCTTTGTGTCTTGCCTACAGTGCTACCAGCCTGGGGCTTCAGGTTGAAGCAGAAAAGACCAGGACCTGCAACACCATACCTGTCTCCCACATAGGAAATCCTGCCTCAGCCATCAGCTGTGTTAGTCCAGCTTGGGAAGCCCCACCACCCCAAGTGGAGACAGGGACATCTTTCATTCGGAAGAGGCGTGGGATGGGCAGAAAGACTCCAGGAGAGCAGAATGAGTGGGAGCGAGTACGACGCTTCCTCAGGAGAGTTCACCTCTGGCTTACCCGGAGGCTGAGCGAGTGACATGTCCTCCCGCTGATAGCGTAACTCGTTCAGGTCTGCAAGAAGGATCTTGCGGGCGTCGCGTTCTGTCAGGTAGTGGAGGTATTCCTCAGCCAAGTTCTTCCTCAGCTTGGACACCTGTTGGGGAGGTGTCTGGGTGGCCAGGACCTGCCTCTAGAACCCGTACATAACTCGTTACTACAGAGAATCAGGGGGAACGACGATAGAGTGGCCTTCAGGACTTGGGAACAGGAAAGATGGAGGACAGAGACTGGCCATCCCTAAGAATCCAGACGAGAGCCAATCTTCCAGAAAGCCTGAGAGCCAAGGAGCAGGGCTTCCCAGGCACTCAGGTCACATGGAGCTAGTTCTCAGCCAAGCAAGAGGACTAAGTATGGTGGCAGCAGACATTCTGAGGAATGTGACCTAGTATGTCATGCCAGGTGGAAGAGTGATGGCCGTTGTGGTGTTGTTATGGGCCATCGAGTTGCTTGCAACTTGTAGAAACCTGTCCTATCTGGAGCCAGTCTCACTGACTCTCACACACCTAAACCCATCGCCCCAGTTACCATGTCAATCCATCTCTTCCTCTCCTGCGCTGTCCCTCCACCCTTCCGAGTATGACGTCCTTCTCCAAGGACTGGTCCCTCTTGGCCACGTGCCCAAAGTATATGAGATGGAGCCTCAAAATCCTTGCCTCCAAGGAGAAACTTGGTTTCACCCTCTCTAAGGCAGACCTATTTGTTCTCCTGTTGATCCAGGACAATGAGTACTTCTCCATGGGCGTAATGTCCCATAAGTATTTCAAGGCTGTAATCTCTGTGAGGAGACTGTCACATCTCCCTCCTATAAAGTGACTGGAGGTTTGAGCCATCAACCCAGTTAGCATCTAAGCACTTAACTACTGAGCCACCAGCTTGCCCAGGGGTGGAGGCAAGGCGGGAATTCAAGGAGTTGGTTACCCACATTCCATATTCACCTCACTCTGCAAAGAGATCTTCTCCTCATTCTTTTTGTCAATGAGCTTCAGTAAGTTCACCTTCTCCTTCCTGAGCATGGAGATCTCAGATTTCTCCTCCGCTCGCATGGCCAGGATCTTCTCCTTGCAGTCCTCATTCACAGTGACAAGCTTGGCCTTCAGGGGCTCCAGACTGCGAATCTTCTCCCTCTGATGGGCTAAGCAGGGGCAGTGGGGGGTTTCCTTTGGACTATGGAGAATAAATAGCTACAAGGCAGAGAGCCTAAGTGCCCCAGAGTCTGTATGGGTTTTTTCCAAAGGCACGCATGGCCCCTACCAAAAGCCCTTGCTGTTTTACCAGGAGCAAGGGCCAGATGAGGCTTTCTCATCAATAGCCTTTAGTCTTGCAGCCTGCCATGGCCTCCATCACTTGAGCCTGGCCGGTGGAGGAGGACCACGCTTCCCAAAGGGACTCCCTTTCTCCTGGGGTTCTCTCAGTGAAAAAAGGTGCTCTGTTTCCTACAGATACTGCCTACTGGGTTTCCCAAGGATGAGAGGTGGTCAGCACCCTGCCTAGAAAAATGGAGGTAAGAGATTGGCTATCTCAGATTGTCAGAGAACCTTGTGAGCAACAATACTGAGTGGAGTTTGGGACTTCAAGATCCTGACTGTAGCTGCCTCAGGCCTGGTGCAGAAGGTCAGAGCAGGATCCTCTCTGTGTCTTCCCAGCTGGAGACAGCATCCAGTCCACCTGACTCAGGTCAGAAAACTTACGCAGGAGAATGCCCATCTTACCCAGCATCACCTCATATGCATTCTTGATGGAGGACAACAATGGCTTGTATGTTTTGAAATCCTCTATGAAGAACTCAAAGATCTCTCTGTAAGGCTGGCAAGAAAAGTGGACTTGTCACTTTGTGACTTGTAGCTCTTACCCCTTGTGGGGACCTTTCTTCTTTCTTGGCTTAGAAGTACTCCAGCAAGAGGCTGCTGGGTGGCCCAGTGAACGTCCGGGCTCTGCCCTAACCAGTGCTCTATGAGGCCTCTCCAGGTGGCAAACTGCTGTGGACTGGCACCTTCTCTTCGTGCCCTAGCCTGTCTTCAGGTAGTCAGCCTCTGCGGAGAGGAGGAGCTTGAGGGTTCTAACCTGGCATCTAACCACCAAGTATTGATATGGTTTTCTGTCCCACTTGAATCCAGAGAAAGTGTCTGGTGGCAGCCTTGCTTGCTGGGATGGGCATAGGTTTCGGAATCATACCTGAGCTTGAATTACGGCCCCTTTACTTGATAGCTATATGCCTTTTACAAACTTCTACTTTCTAGTCGGTGACTCACCTTCTGCTTATGAGATCATATGTAAGGCCCTGGCCTAGGGCCTAGTACAGTCAAGACTCAGTAAATGCTTCAGTCAGTGAGCAGTCAGCAGGCCGGGAGCCCCTGTCACCCAGTCCCTGTCTGAGCAGTGAATTTCGGTAGGGAGTTTGCTCTGCAAACCCAAATGCTGTGCCTCTCTGGCAGTTCAAATCCAGCAGTGACTCTGAGAAAAATAAACAGTCTCCCCCCATGTGACTTCCAGAAGCCCTGTGGAGGGCCAGCTATGCAGTCATCCTCTTGGTATATACTAGAATCTAGGTGGCATCTAGATTTTTCTCTTTCTTTGTATGTCTGGGCTTGTTTAAGCATGGAGCTGTCCTCTGAAGGGCAGGTGGACTGGAATACTGGCTTGCCCAAATGTCAGTGTTCAGGCTGCCTGGGGACTCAGGACTGCAAATAGCAGCTGGGCCCCCTGATTCCACAGGGAGAAATGGAATCCTCCAGAGGGTCTAGTTCCACATTGCAGCCTTCTCTTATTTACGAAATTTGTCAGAGGACAAATTCTTCTGACAAAGGAGAACCCCAAAAGTGCTAGGGGATGCTGGTCTCTCCTGAGGCCTGGGTCCTCTTCCCACCCTCTCACGGTTTGTTCTGTGGCTCTAACCTGTAACCTCAGCTCCTGAGCCGAATCTGTGCCCAAGTCCAGCAGAAGGAGCTCCTTGCGCAGGTAGTTTTCCAGTTGCTCCAGGTACCTCGGCTTGGCAATGCTCAAGGTCTGCCGCTGCCAGTTCCTGCATGGGATACGTGGGGCTGAAGTGAGCACCCCACAGGGCCCGTGCCCCCTCGGCTTGGTGATGCACACACCCCTCCCCTGTCTCTATTAGCTTGCCCGCTGTCAGGCTGCCCTCGGCTTACCCTGTTCGCATCTTCTTGTCCTCTGAACAGGGCTTTCGGTTTTGTAGAATTGTCTGGCCACTGGCGTGCATGGGCCATGGGGATAGGTGGCTGCCTATGGATACCTGAGAAGGCTATAGAAAGACAGGTGGAGTTACCATGGCAACATTGCTCTTCTCCCTGATGCTTCTCTTTCTCTCCCCTCTCCCCTCAAAACTTGTCTACAATACCCATTTAAATATGGTTCATAATTAAGATTATGGGCTTAGAGACGGCTTGGATTAGATTACCTGTCTATATGTAGAAACCCTTCTAGGCTAATGGTACCTGATTCCTGACCTTCCTAGTGTTGAAAATGCCGTATCATTGGGCTCCTTAGCCTGGTCTTTTCTCTTGTATTCTACTATTTTCAGGTTTGTGTTTTATCTCAATCTTGGGACCATTCATTCTTTTTCTGAATATGTATGGAAGATGTATAGTAAGCCTTGTGTTAGATCCTGGGAAGGACTCCAGCCTCTTGAAGACTCTGGAGTACCCTATCACTGTAAACCCAGAATGGACAGCTCTGTATCATACTCTGTGTCTTTTATTTTTTAGATAGTAAAAATAATTAGATAATATTTTAACTCAATCATGAAAGATACATTCAGAGGTCCCAAATTGACTTTCAATCCTTCCCAAAAGGCAATCAAAGTTCCCCATCACTCTTTATTCTAAGACCTTTGGATTCAACATTATCAACAACTAAGACAGGAAGATAATGTATTACAATTTCAAGTATCTCTAAGCAAAGGTTGTGGAATAAATATATGAGGAAGTACATAACTTTTTTTTAAAATTTTATTTTTTATTATTTTTGTGTGTGTGTGTACCGTCAAATCAGATCTGACTGGTACAGGAGGAGATTGTCCCTCCTTCCCCTGCAGAGCATCTGGTGGATTTGAACTGTGCGCCTCTGGGATTATAGTTGCAGCTCCTTGCCACTAGGCCACCAGAGCTCCAAGGAAGTACATAATTTTTTTTTTAAATTTTTTTTATTATTTTTTTTTTATTTTTGCGTGCGTGTACCGTCAAATCAGATCTGACTGGTACAGGAGGAGATTGCCCCTCCTTCCCCGGCAGAGCATCTGGTGGATTCGAACCGTG